TGCTCGCGGAGGCAAGCAATTGTCCCTGGTTTTCCCCTCCCTCTCTCCTTGCCTCCCTCCACTCTCCCAGAACCTACAGCCTAGAACACCGTTTCTCTCCACTCCTTACTTTAAAATAGAAATATCAATGACTTCTCCCTGAGCCTATCAGAGGGAATCTGAGGTGCACAGGGGCAGCTCTGCAACCTTTACTTTTTCTCATTTCCACTCCAGCTGCTGGACCACACAACCCTCTCCCTTCTGCCAGGAAGAGAAGGTACGAACCTCAGAGCTAGAGCTGGGAGCCCAGCCCTCAGGCCTCCAGAACTATCCTCTCCTAGTCCTCTCAGTGTGAGATGATTGGCAGGAAGCCCTGTCTGGGACCCACACCCTCTTCATCCTCACTCTCCCTCCCTTGGGTCCCTATCTCTGGCTCTGACCTCATGGTATTTGGCACCCTGCTAAGAGGGGCCTCTAGTTTGGACACATTCCTGGACGCCATGCGTTAGTTTGGCCCCTTCAGGTCCTCAGCGCCAGCATACTGCCCCCCAGAGCTTCCCAGCAGCCCTCATCCCTTCCCTCTGGCTTCAGCTCACTCTATTTTCTGAGCTCCCAGGCCCCCAGGTCGTCAGGACATCAGGATATTTGGCCTCTGCTAGTCCTTTTGGCTAGCCTTTGTGCAGACATAGCTCTGCACCAGGGGGTTGCCCTACGGATCTAGAGTTGGGTTTCAGTCCCTGTTTACCTCCTCAGTAAGGAATAATCTGTACAACTTTATTTAGTGGCATTAACATTTGAAAATCTGTGTACCCCAAGGACAGAGAACAAAATTCACCATGTCCTACCCTTTGTATTTGTTCCACTGAAACCAAATAAGATATCCCGGCCTCTTTTGAGCAAGCTTGGAAATAGCTTCCACAGTGAACACCCATTGCCAATTCCAGATATTACTCTGGGAAAGTTCCTCCAACATCAAACCTCAATCTCTCCTGCTGCGATCTTTGTCTTCTTTTTCTGGGCTCCACCTCTGGGCCCATGGTGTTATTTGATGCTTCTAGGTACTTTCAGGCTCCATCCCCTGACGCAGCATTTGCTATAAATATGCATGAAGAGTTTCTTGCTGACAGTGCCCAGCAAGATTGTACCTTCCTTCCCATGCCAGGTCTCTTTGGAGGCACTAGGCTCTCAGCTATAGCTTCAAGAACAAACTCTTGCCTATTCTGGGCAGACAGTGTGACTGATCTGCGGATTGGGGGTTCTCCGGTATCTGGGAAGGAGGGAATGTGAGAGAACTGAGATGCTTGGCTCTCATTCTCTTGCCGCCCAGAGTCTGGCTCAGCCTGGCACATAGTAGGTGCTTGATATATGTTTATTTATGTCTTAGATCTAAGTTTCCCCTCTTGGTTCATTGCATGTGATGGGTGATCCCATTTCTCCGGAGTGGATTGAAATAAGGAATGAGGATGGGACAGGAGCAGAACTCTAGGTCTACCCCAGGTGGAGGAAGGGTATTAGCGGCAGGATCCCAAGAAGGTCCTGGAGAAAGGGGCTGGCCTAGACTTTTTGGCCTTCTCTCCTTCAC